GCTGTTCCCTCTGTTCCCTTGGCTGTTCCCTCTCTTCCCTTGGCTCTTTCTTCCCCTTTTCCTCTCATGACCTGATCCTGTATTTTAGCTTCACTGGTCATTACTGTATCACAACCATCCGAATTTCAGGTTGTAAGTGACCCACTGATGTGGGTCTGTGCACTGACCAGGTAGCACCTGTGAGCAGGTCTCTCCTCTCCATACCACCCCTTCTGACCGCGTCCCTGTCCTGTGCCCCCAGCTGTATTGCACATGGCTGGCTCACACCTGTTGCCCTTTCCTCACCTGGCCTGGATGGCGTTTGCTCCTTAGGAAGTCAGGTCAGTTCTTGTATCCAGCCTTGTATGTGTGGAAGGTGCCACAAATCACAGATACCGCGTGCAGGCCAGGTGCGGTGGCTCACGCCTGTAACCCTAGCACTCTGGGAGGTTGAGGCGGGTAGATTGGCTGAGCTCAGGAGTTCAAGACTGGTGCAAAGCGAGGGCCAATCCACTGAAACTAGATATATTATCTGGGTGTGGTGGCAGGTATCTATGGTCTCAGCTACGTGGGAGGCTGAGGCAGGACCATTGCTTGACGCTAAGAGTTTGAGGTTACTACGAGCTGTGATGCCACAGCACTCCACAGAGTGAGACTCTGTGTCTCAAAAAAAATAAATAAATGAAATCCAGTGTGCATGCACTGTATTCCCTGTGATCGTATGGCGGTTGCAGAAACCTCCGAGGAACCTGCCCACCCCACCGGGGACCCTTCTTTCCTCCCCCAACTTGGGCTTTGCTTTCTCAGCCACTGCCCCCTTCTCCATCAGCACGTTCTCTCCCCAGCGTCTGTCGCGTCTCCCTGTGAGCTCACAGCTCCTCACTGGACATTCTGGTCACTCTCTGTAGACCAGCCCGTTTCACGCCTTTTCTTGGATCTAGCTGATTTTCTCCTGTCTCACTGTGTGTGCCACTTTCCTGCTGAGAAACCTACAGTGAGTGTATGTGGTCCCTGAGGTGCATTTTCGGTTTTTCCACCAGGTTCACCACAGGCCTCTCAGGTCGGCCTCCCGGCCAGCCTCTCTCACACCGTCCCCCTACTCCTTCGCCTCCTTCACCTCTTCTGATGTGGCCAAGGTCCAGCCCACCTCTTTTCTTCAGGTTGACGCTGTGTCCCACAGCTGTGAGTCATGTTCAGGGGTGTTCGGAAGTGTATTAAGGACCATGTGTGGTGCCCAAGGGCACTATTTCCCAGCACCTGGCACGATGCTCTTGTTGATTGCACTTCATGACCAGATACTTGGACCCGTGGGTACATGAATGAATAAATGAAGGTCCAAGTTTCACACTCAGAGTCTAAAATTTGTGCCTTTATAAACTAGATAAACTAGTTTCCTACCAGGAGATCTGTGTTGGCATTAGTTAGGCTGGTCAGGTTGAAGCCCACCGTAGGCCACAAATTATCTTATGGTCTCATCCTTAAAATGGGATTGTCATTTTCTGCCTTGTTGTTTGGAGATTCATGAATGATCCTTCTGATAGATGTTGCCATGTCGGGAGAATTGTATAGAAATAACTGAATCCACTGAGCTTGAGTAAAAGACAAGCTATGTCGTGGTCTTGTGCGTTCCTCTAGAAGAGTGACAGGCCAATGGATTTTTCCCCATAGTGTGAGATTTTGTTTCTGTTGTTTCTGAGCCAAGTATCGCATGCCCAAGCCATGATGATGGCCTATATTCAGAATGGACACTTGACCTAGTTGTGTGTCTAACCCAAAGAAGGTCGTGGCATCCAGCATCCTGGCTCAGACACCAAATGTGACCCTCAGGATTAATTGAGGGTTGCAGAAAATAACTTCGTTTTTCTGGATGAACTTAAGAAACTTTAGACAGAGTTCTCTTTCCAGCCATAAATAGCAGGGCAGCTTTGTCCTATTTTTATTGTAGAGTACACAGAGATGGAACTCTGCATTGGAAGAAATGCATTATTTCGCCAAGGAAGAAGCTTCTACTCAACATGATTCTTGTTTTTCTTGGCAGGCTCTTCTCAACCATCTGTGAGTCCAGGAGAACTGTCTCCACCATTCATCCATCCAACAAAATCAGAGTTAATAGTCAACGTTGGCACCGAGCTCCGGCTGCTATGCACCGATCCCGGCTTTGTCAAATGGACTTTTGAGATCCTGAATCAGATGCGTGAGAATAAGCTCAATGAATGGATCATGGAAAAAGCAGAGGCCACCAACACGGGCAGATACACGTGCACCAACGAACACGGCTTAAGCAGTTCCATTTATGTGTTTGTTAGAGGTAAATGCTTGACTTCTGGGTGGCTGTGCTTTAGAAAGCTTAATACCCTGCTCTTAATTTTGGACGACACATGGATGACTGAGCCACAGATAAAGCAGTACTGGCGGGGTCTAGAAAGCCTGGAGCACGTGTTTTCTTTGCTGTGTGCCCATCTTTTGATGCACAGTGGCTGCGGGTATGGCCCCAGCTGGAGGTCTGCGGGACTGTGATACCCTTCCTAATGAGATTACAGTGGGTTTAGCCCATTTGTGATGGTTCCCTGAGTAAACCCTTAGAATCAATTAGGCCCTTTGGGAAAGCTGCTTTTTAATGCCTGGAGATACTAGATACTCCCACTTAGTAAAAACACTTCGGGGAACCAAAGGCCTCTAAAGCCCTAAGAAGACTGACACTTCAAAAGATTTGGCCCACTTTTAGGGAGTAAATTCCAGAAAAATAATGTGGTCAGTTAAGCATCACGTGTCTGTCGTAGGTCCTTTGTAGACTGACTCATCTCAACAATTGTGACCTTTTGGGCGGTGCCTGTGGCTCAAAAGAGTAGGACGCTGGCCCCATATACCAGAGATGGTGGACTCAAACCGAGCCCCAGCCAAAAACTGCAAAAAAAAAAAAAAAGAAAAGAAAAAGAAAAAAAAATTGTGACCTCTTAGGAACAAAAGAAAAAGAAAGGTGATGGTCAGATTTCCGTAATTTATTTCCCATGACAAATTCAGTGATTTGTCTCTGTTTATGCTTTTAATAACCTTGTCAAGAGTAGGTGTGGTGGGTTGGGGTGTATATTTCAGCTGATGTAAAATCTGAGCTCCTGACAGCTTAAGATACCCTTAAGCCGCCCAAGTTACAGGAGGAGGACTAGAGTCCTTGTTTCTAGTCCTGGTTGTTGTTGGATAGAGCTGTCTCTGAAACAGGCTGGAGGTGAGAGACCTCCTCTGTGGTGCTGGGAACAAACAGCGGATGTGATGATCTGAGACGGCAGATCTGAACTCCCTCAGCTGTCGGTCTCCTCCCTGCAGGATCTGGGTAAGGTTACCTGCTCTGTCTTCCTTACTAATTGCTGTTAGGGAGCCAGGACTGTGCAGATTCTAACATGCTTTATTGAGGGCGATAAAGCCAGCTCACACGACGTCTCTCCTGGTTCACCAGCTGAACAGAGATGCCTGGTGAGGTGCAGCTCCATCTCAGGGCTGGCTCTGATTATAAAGAGATGCCCTGGTGAGCTGCAGCTCCATCTCAGGGCTGGCTCTGTGATCATAAAGAGATGCCCTGGTGAGCTGCAGCTC